GTCTTTGCATTACTACTTGGCGAGAATTGTAATAAGCAAATATTTTCAGAAGTGTGACTTTTCCCCTGATGACTTTCACACATCCTCCTCTCTCTACTTTTTTGCAATCACAGTGCATCTCCCTATCTCTCTGTGGATTTGCTTCCTCATTTGCCTTTCTGCCTGCTCCCTCTCTGCTATTTTCCTCCTTCTCTTTTACTCGGGAGATATTTATGACACTGACCTTTTCAGCTGTAAGCTGAAAGTTAAATACACCATGCTCCTTATTGATCTTGTGCAAGGCAATTAAAGGTCTGTATTAATAGAAAATCATTTCACTTGCGACATGACACACAGGCCTGCGCCACACTAGATGATTGCCTACAGGGAAGGTAAATTATATTTATATGGCTACATCAAAAGCTCAACAGCCAGAAAAGTTGGATATATTGAATCTGGGCTTTCAGATGCATATCTCTGGACTGGTTAAATCCTGGTGCCAGGTATGGCGGTCATGGTTTGTTTGGTCATGAAATTGCAACCAATTTTTCTTTGTGCACTGTGTCTCTCAGATGCTCCATTTCTGATGTGAGGGAGCGAGAGATGGGGTGAATTTTTAGGTAAAGGATGATTCTGAGCCATCTTGTCTCAGAGAGTTCAATGATGTGAGTCACTGGAGAGTAGCAGGTTTTTCACAAGCACGATTAGCCGCTGGAAGTCGGGGCGGGGGGTTGTCGTGGGAATTCTTTTATATTTGAGTGTCGCTACATCTCAGAAGAATTTAAGACAGAAACTCAGCATGATAAACCATATCTATTTAATTACATGCCGGCATGTAATTAAATAGATATGGTTCATCATGGTGGGTTTCTTTCTTGAATTCTTCTGGGACTTTGCAACTCTCACATATAAAAGAAAAAAGGAAGCAAACCTTTCTCGTGACCCTAAATATTCTCCCACAGGGTCAGGCCTGCCAACTATGGAGATGAGCTATTGACATCATGTGTCATCTCTGAATATATGCTGGCAACGAAGAGCTCTGGATGTCATGGCAGTTTCATTGTTCCCACACCAGCCTAATGGCCTCACCCACAGAATCTTATCCCTCTATACTTTTGCAGGCATTGAAATTGCACTATTGATCTGCTTTCCATCCTTCTGCTGTTCCTTTCTGAACTATGTTTAAAGTCTTCCTCTTCCAAAGTTAGCTACACATTCATTTGTTCACTTTCAGTGGTCTGGGTATGGATGTATGTTTATTTAACTGTGCGGTGGAGATACTCCAAGCTAAAATGAAATGCTCTGGTGACAGCTCTGGTGACTGCACACACCTGTGCTGTGACACTGATGTAGATGGCAGAGCTGCAGGAGTGCTTAGAGGTCAGTGTGCTCTCAGCTCCTCTGCCGCTTGACAACGTCTGCGATCCTGCTCTAAGGAAGTGTCTCTATTGATTTTTGTCAATGAGGTGACAAGACTGCAGGGCCAGGCCACTTTGAGAGCGCACACTCTACATTCAAGTGCAGATATTTACTACAACCTCTTGTATGCAGACTCACACCTAGAAATAAAAACACATTTTAGTTTATCACTCTTGACTCTTTAATCAGTCTGATCACCTCCTCCCTTATAGGCAGAGATGGAGAGGAAGTGATCACACAACACTGAAAGCCTTCACAGTCTGCCATTGACCAGACGGTGATGGCCTTTAAAGAGTGGCTCCATGCTTTGAGAAAAACATCCGATCAGATAGAGGAGGCGGAATTCTCCTGTGTCTCATTCCATCCAATATATTTCAAGGCTGATACAGTCATTTTTTTCTATGGAGCGGCCTCTGTGGAATACTGAACAAGTGAGCGCAGATAAATGAACACTAGACTTATGCTTTCTAGTTTCCTTGGCTTGGCAAAATAAAATCATCTGTACCGAGGTGACCGGGGCTTTGACTTCATCTCCCCAGGAACCTTCAGTCTCTTTCATTCGAGCTATATTATTTTCAGCCAAGGCATCCATGGATAATTTCACTCAACTCCCACAAAGAAAGAGTCCTGTGGAACATTTGAAATGGATGGGATGTGACATCTTTGCCCTATTATTACAGTAAATGGATGATTTAATTGCATACTTTCATGTCTGGAAAACTGCTTAATATGACCCGAGTTACTGCTGCGTGCACTAATGGCATTACCCCTGTGACAACTGTGAAAACCGATCATCCAAGTTTACATTAAATACACTTTATCAAGCTCCTGGAGTCAACCACTGCAGTGACCAACTCTAGCAAACCTGGAAACGTCTTACCTGTATACACTAGCAGCTTTTTTTTTTTTAACAAGTCTGAAAGTGCTTTACAGGAACAAGAAAGAGAGAAACTGTACTTAAGTACAGAGTTGCTGTGAACTAACATGCTCTTATCAAATGGTTTATTGTTTACTATTTTCACCATCTTGTTTTAATGTGAGAGTAAGAACTGGACAAAACTTGTCAGGGGGCAC